GTTACACGGTACAACTTGAAATCAAACAACAAGATATTCAAGAGTGTTACATGGTATTGGTGAAACACCATCTCACCGAAGAACCTCAAAAGCTAAATCATTAATCATTCTTGCAACTTAGTTTGATAGATATTAGACTATCTATCTATAGAAACCATTTTGAAAGAAAAGAAGATATCACAACATTATGGGCCATTAAGGCCTTTATTTATGTTGGAACAGTCTAAATCAAGCCCATCTAATGATCCACCATAGTTTTTTTTGTTTTTGTACTAATGCATATATATAATGGTACAGTACATATCACGTATTGAAGGTTAGACCATGTTTATCAGACATATTTTTAGGGGTTTATGGGCCTTTTTAGATTTAAATATAATAAATTGGGTCTGTTTTGGGGTTGAGCCGGATCAGTAAACTGATTCTTTTGATTCGGTTCAACGAGGCCACGAGGCATCCTCCTATTGGACCGTGGCGTTTAGGGTTACGCAGAAAAAAAAAATCATTTCGTCGCGTTTTCTTTTTCTTTTTTCTCTCGAAGGAGGCGAAAATGGCGATTTCGGCGAGGGAGAATATTCTCTCTTTGTCGCGGTTGCTCTTCGCTGGCGGTTCTCTTCGTCGCCGCAAGGGCGATCTCTTCAACCTCTATCATCCTCACGGCGATGGAAGGCGTAGCGAAGAGATCTTCTCTCTTCTCTCTGTGGCGATGGAAGGCGAAGAGATCTTCTCTCTTCGTCGCCATATGTGTTCTCTCTCCGTCGCGGGGAAATGGCAACAGCAACAGATCCACCGTCTCAACATCCACGAGTATCAGGTTCTTCTCTTCATTTTCCGATTTCTCAACTTCCTTATATCCTCCACAGTTGCGTAGATTCGCTTTTCAAATGTGTTCGCATCCGAAATCCGAGTAGGATCTGTTATTTTTTTGGGGATTGATTTACGGTATTAAGTGATAACTGAAGCTAGAATTGCGTTGTATTGAGTCTATTTTGAATGTAAGCACTAGCTTGTCTTCATCGAATCGTCTTGGTTTAAGAACATGTAATTGAGTGTTGTTTGTTTCGATTGATGTTAGGGTGCTGAGTTGATGGGGAAATATGGAGTTAATGTGCCAAAAGGAGTCGTTGTTTCTACGTTGGATGAAGTGAAAAAGACTATCCAAGACGTTTTCCCTAATGAAAGCGAGGTAATTTATATATACATAACCTTTTTTCAAAGACTTATTCTGAATCAAGAGCTTAACCCTATTGCGATTTTACTCTGTTAGTAGTTGCCTAATGGAAGAGTACTCTTTTTTGTGATACAGTTGGTTGTTAAGAACCAGATTTTGGCTGGTGGAAGAGGTCTTGGAACATTCAGCCTAAAGATATTGCTAGTATTGTGCATGGTTTCTTGTTTGTGGCCTTCTTCAAGTGTTGTTTTTGTTGTCTCGGGATTTATTGATCTAGTTCTGATTTTTATCATTGTAGGAAAGATGTTAGGACAAGTACTTCTCACCAAACAAACTGGTCCTCAAGGCAAAGTAGTTAGCAAGGTTTGTAATTGGTTATTCATGAAGTTCATAATTCTTGTGACTGCTATAGCATTTGTGTTTATTCATAGTTTTGCTCAGCAGTTAACTTCTCTGTGTATTGATTTTGAGCAGATTTACTTGTGTGAGAAATTGTCAATCGTCAATGAGATAAAATTTTCTTTCATTTTCTTTTTTATAAAAATAATTTTTTTTTCTTTTGAACCCCTTTGAATATCACCAATAAACATACCAAAATTATAAAAATCTAATTAAGTCTCACAGATTAAACAACTAATAAAATTAATCTTAAATTATTGTTAATGATACTCAATGAAGTTTACTAATAAACATGCTCTTATATAGTGGACCGTGGACGAATTTGTCTGTCTTCATCTTCGATCGTGAAATGATAAGATTCCTTACGATTCGTAAATTAGATATTTTATTTCATGAATGATTTGTCTATTTTCTATTCCGTGAGGTGACGTACTTCACTGAGCTCAGTAGTCACTTGTTTCCTTTATATATTTTTTTCTATATAATACGATAACTCTCCTATGATCATTATACTCACTAAAGCAACAAAGCAAAAAAAGAGAGTTACACATGGAGCAAAAAAGTTTCTTTCGATTGATTTTTCTCATAGTAACGGCTTGTTTCATCATCTCTTTCACTTCCACTAACTTCTCTCACTCGCCGTCGTCCACGACGGTGCTTCTTGACTGCACCACCGACTCTTCCTCTTCACCTCTTTGTGCATCTAGAAACTTTCTTTTCAACAAAAAACAACGACCCCTTCCTAAAAACGATCCTAAGCCAAAACCCAAAAACCATGACCACGTCTCCGACACACCAAACCACCCTCTTGACCCACTAACCGTCGTGGAGCTCAACAAAGTCCGATCAATCCTCTACTCTCACGCGCTATTCACCTCCCGTGCGCCACACACGCTTAACTCAGTCGTCCTCGAAGAGCCGGACAAGGATCTTGTCCAAAAGTGGGAAAAAGGAAACACTCTCCCTCCGAGAAAAGCTTCGGTCATCGCACGTGTCGGTCTTGACACGCATGTACTCACCGTTGACATCTCTTCTGGTCAGGTCAAGTTAGAGGATAGTCCGGTTCGCGTTTCGGGTTACCCTACGATGACTCTAGAGGAGATGAACCAAGTCACGTTGGCTCCGTTCTCAAACGCGGATTTTAACCGTACGATTATCTCTCGTGGAGTTAATCTAACGGATGTGAATTGTTTTCCTTTATCTAGCGGTTGGTTTGGTAAAAAAGAAGAAAACATAAGGGTTATTAAAAGTCAGTGTTACTCAAAACAAGGTACGGTTAATTTCTACATGCGACCTATCGAAGGTTTAACCATTCTAATAGATTTAGATACAAAACAAGTGATCGAGATAGTTGATACCGGTCCGGCTATACCAATACCCGGTTCAACTAATACCGATTACCGGTTCGAAAACCTCGCGACGAACCCCGACAAAACCAGACGTCTCAACCCGATATCACTTGAGCAGCCACGTGGTCCAAGCTTTGTAATCGAAGACAACCATCTAGTGAAATGGGCAAATTGGGAATTTCACTTGAAACCTGACCCGAGAGCAGGTGTGGTTTTATCACGGGTCAGGGTACACGACCCGGACACGAGAGAGACACGTGATGTGATGTACAAAGGGTTTGTGTCGGAGCTTTTTGTTCCGTACATGGATCCATCAGACGCGTGGTACTTCAAGACTTACATGGATGCTGGTGAGTATGGGTTTGGGTTACAAGCCATGCCGCTCGTACCGCTTAACGATTGTCCACGAAACGCCGTTTATATGGACGGTGTTTTCGCGGCTGCGGACGGTACACCGTTCGTGAGAGAGAATATGGTTTGTGTGTTTGAGAGTTACGCCGGAGATATTGGGTGGCGTCACTCGGAAAGTCCCATCACCGGTTTACCGGTTAGTCTTTTTCCTTCTCTGTTTCATGGATCAGTTTTACGTAGAAAAAAGTTAGTGGTTAAAATTGAAAAATTGGATGGTTTAAAGATTAATTTAGGTAGTGACTACCATTAATTATAATTAACATATAGTACGCAATTATTCTCAATTTAATTATGATTATAATTGAGCAGATAAGGGAAGCGAGACCAAAGGTGACGTTAGTGGTACGAATGGCAGCTTCAGTAGGTAACTATGATTACATCATTGATTACGAGTTCCAAACTGATGGGCTTATCAAAGCTAAGGTACTTTTCAACTTTTATATCATTTTCCAAAAATAAAAGATTCCATCAGATTTCGTGGAAAAATGAATATTCATTTTTTTTTTGTCGCAAACCACACAAATGGATGGTATACAATGACTAGGTTGGACTTAGTGGAATACTAATGGTGAAAGGGACAACATATCAAAACAAGAACCAAGTCAAGAAAGACAAATACGGTAATGAAGAAGATCTTCACGGCACGCTTCTGTCTGAAAATGTAATCGGAGTAATTCACGATCACTACGTCACTTTCTACCTTGACCTCGACGTCGATGGCCCGGACAATTCCTTTGTTAAAGTAAACCTCAAGCGGCAGGAGACCGAGCCAGGTGAATCACCGAGGAAGAGTTATATGAAAACAGTTAGGAACGTTGCGAAAACCGAAAAAGACGGTCAGATTAAGCTTAGTTTGTACGACCCATCGGAGTTTCACATCATCAATTCTAATAAAACCACTAGGGTTGGTAACCCGACGGGTTACAAAGTCGTGCCTAGAGCAACGGCGGCTGCTTTGCTTGACCATGATGATCCGCCGCAGAAGAGAGCGGCTTTTACCAATAACCAAATTTGGGTCACTCCATACAATAAGTCCGAGCAATGGGCTGGTGGTTTGTTCACTTACCAAAGCCGTGGTGATGATACTCTTGCGGTTTGGTCCGACAGGTGATTAATTGCAATTTGCAAATTATTATTATTAATTGGATAGGTAACATTTGAGTCTTTACTATAATTTGATGTATTATTTGTTGGTGCAGGGATAGAGACATAGAGAACAAGGATATAGTTGTGTGGTATACACTTGGCTTCCATCACGTTCCATGTCAAGAAGATTTTCCGATAATGCCCACGGTTTCTTCGAGTTTCGATTTGAAACCCACAAATTTCTTTGAACGCAATCCGATCCTTAGGGCGTCCCCAAACTTCGAACATGACCTTCCGATTTGTGGAGCTGAATCTGTTTCAGCTTGAGAAGGGGTGAAGTTTTGGATCTTACAAAATAAAGAAATAGGCAACTTTTGGATCTTCCATAGACTCATGGTGCTTTATATCAAAAGCAAAGTATATTATGTGGGTGTAAACTAGTAATGGGATTAAATCCTTCTCAAAAAGCCTCATTATCATGCGGATGCGGTCACACTTCTGCTTCTTTGGAAGGGTCTAGCACGCCACTAGAACACTAGATGTAAATATGTATATGTATATGTGTATATGGAAATCCATTCATGTGGATTATGTATGATTAGTGTATTACTCTTTGAAAACATGGAATAGTATATATCTTATTTTATATAGGATTTTTAATGAAAATCTTTTAAAGTATTGTTTGATCTATTTTAAATTTTTTAACTAAATTATTAAGGTAAAATTTCCTCAATTAAAAGACTTTAACCAAAAAAATCCTCAACTAAAAACTTAATAAAAAAACCTCTCAAGTAAAGTTTAATAATGAAAAAATCCTCATTAATCAGTTAATGTCAAAATATTAAACAACCACCATTAAATTGATTGTTTTTGATTTTTAATTGATTGTATCGTGTTTCCAATCTTGTTTT